ATACTAAATATAAATTTGACTTTGTTTTTTATACAGATCTCAAATAATTCTGTTGATGATTTACTCGTACTTGCTAATGAACTTCGTTTACCTAGTTTAAAACATCTTTCTGGAAATACTTATTCAAAATCATTTAGAATTGATACAATTATTTCAACGCATCGTCTTCCATTTTTATTTGAATTAGTTAAATTCTTGAACATTAATGTGTTCGATTGATAAGTGATCATGTACAAACAGCTCGAACGAACTTTTTTATGTTGATTGAAAAATAAAATTCTTTTATTTAGCTTTTAGAACAAGACGAGTTTGAAAAATTTCTACTTGAAGATGCAACTAGTGTAGTTGATCAATAAAAAACTGATACAATATCGATTATTAATAATTTAAGCTTTTATTTGAATTTTGTTTATCATCTAATTATTTATGGATCACCCTGTAGAAGGTAGTGTTGTTCTGTACGAAGATGAAGGATGATAGATTACGAGCACCAAACTAATGTTCTCTTCTTTTTCAGATATTCGTACTACCACTCGTTCTATTCTCTAGCACTTTGATCAAAATGGTAAGCATTCTTCTCAGTTCAGATGAGAAAAAAATCAAGCAAGGCGACCTCTCCAAGACACTTGTCAGAGTCCTTTATGGTGTTCACGATTTGGATGTTGCACTGGTCCAATTTGACACAACTTATTCTGGCGAGGTGAGCAGAATGGATGGCATGTTGGGCGCAGTTCGATGCTCATATCGGCGATTGTGGTTGCCAACTATGAGCTCAGATGCTTTGGAGTCTTACAGAGCACTATCACGAACCGAAAAGTCGCGAATGGATCAGCAATGCCGTTCAGATATTTCGAGACATCAAGAATAAAATTGTTGCCATGTAATGTGATATTCGTCAGCTAAAGGGTGATAATCAATTACTAGGTTTCTCTTCATCAATTCCACTCATCGATATTTTTGAGCGTATCGAGTGCAAACCTTTGTTCACAATACTTGATAGTTGTTTATCTAAAATTGATTCAAATGACGAATTTGCTGTCTCTAAGGCTTCCAATCATGGCAACATCGGTGATTCGGACTGTAAAGGTTGGAAGCCATCTAGCACTCGCTTGAGTAAACGGGAGCGCCGTCGAACAGCCAAAGCTGACAAATGGAACGTGTCCGACTATCGCATGGTAGCTCAGTTTCTATCCTACTGCCGCATTGTATCACTCAACAAAACGGCCATCCTTGAGCCTGGCCCCATTCGCGTTCGTAGCCGTCTTGATCCTCTATTTGCTGCTTCTGTGACCGAGAGACAACTTGATAGTCTCCTGTCACGCACTGGGTTGGCTTACTTATTTTATTTTATATAAAAAGTACTATCTAAATTAAATGAAATCATAGACTTTAGGAATGAATGAGAATCACTGGAAGAATAGGATCGTTATTGGATGGAATCTGACCAGATCCAGCTGACACTTTTAGCATATATAGCACTATTGTACCCCAATCTTTGAGACTCGTTCAGGTTCCCGGAGTTTTCAACTCTTCAAGAACTCTTTAACTCGAAAAAATAGTATAAAACAGCTAAACAGTTATAAAAAGCAATTAAGCAGAACACGCGAAACCCTCAAAATTTGAAGAACTCTAGGAATTCAAGCAACAAAGGACATCAACATTCAACATCCTCATCCATGCACCCTGGCTCGCACCTTCGTTCTCAATCTCAAACTACCCTCAAATCATCCTTCTTTAAGTTCTTAGAGTTACTAGCGTTCTGCTTAGTTGTTGTTTTATAATGGTTTTGCTGTTTTATATTATTTCTTGAGTTCAAGAATTCCTCAAGAGTTCAGAACTCACTAAATTTGACCACTGCTACATAAGAATCTCATTCATTCAATATATGAGCAAATGAGCTCAACTTTTGTGCCCAATAAATACCATGATTTACGCTTCATATCTATGCAACAATATCATAGTTTGATTATACGAGCGAACAAGAGAAGGTGAAAGTACTATTAAGTTTTGCAGTTCTCTTGAGATAGTTGGGGACATTTGTTTTAAAATATGTATTGTATGAAACCATTTCTTCATTGAATTTTCACTGTTTCCGTACGTGTATATCACCAAATTATGATGTTATTGCATAGATATGAAGTCTAGATTATAGTATTTATTGAACCAAAAGTTGAGCTCATTTGCTCATATTGGATTGTTGCAAAAGTCCTTGCCGATTTTTCTTTTCACTTTTTAAAAATTTTATTGAAACAAAAGAGTATCAATCAGCAATATGTGCACCATTATTATCTGCGACATACTCTCGTCTCTTAGACAAATCCATAATACCATCTTCATAGAATTTCATAGAATGAGACTGAAAGAGAGTTTCGAGGTCCGATTTTAAGTGGTCTTGATCGTCGAAGTGTTTCTCGCACAGATGATTGTGAAGCGAGCGGAACAGATGATAACCGGAAGATACTAAGTCTGATGAATGTGGTGGATGAGATAAGACCTGTCAGTCTAATTCCTCTAGCTTTTGACCGATGACCTTTCCAGTATAGGGTTTGGTGTTTTCATGAGGTAGCCGAATTTTGCGCTGTTCTAGACGCTTGGTTTCCATGATGGCCTCCAAATTTAGGGGTTATTTCTCACAGAACTCGGCATCAACTGTGGTGTTACGGGGAAGAAGCTCGAAGTAGATTATGCCTTCAAAACTCCCATCATTACCTTTTTTCGGTAGGGTGTGCGTGTCGCTGGGTGTGGAAAATAACATCACACCCCACACCCACACCCAAATACGTCAACTGCTTCCTTTTTGCAGCTCCAGAGGAATTAATAAACAATGATTTATTAACGGATGCGAGGATATCGAAGAAAACATTCGTGTAACTGCTAACAACACCTGCATCGTGTTGCACATTTTAATCGCGCAGGGATTAGGCTAACAGCTTTTTATTATAATTGATTCATATGATTAATTATTTAATGAATATCTGTAAATTTTTCACATATGAAGTGTCTTGCGTAAACAGTATAATATCGTCAGAATAATAGCAAAGTAGGAAGTTCATGAAATATACTGCGTCATTTGTCCTGATGTTCTTTTGCAAAGGAAAAATAGATGTTGGTTTTCGTTTAAAGGTGACAGTTGTTGATAGATGTGTGGAGGACATGAAGATAAAAGCAACGAAAGAAAAAAAAGTGACATCATGTTAGAACGTAAAAGAATGAAAAAAAGAAGTATACGTCAACATTCTCTCCTTATCATATTGATCAGATTTACTGAGAAAGAATGTTGTAAAGATGTTAACAAAAAACAACAAGTGGAGACGAATAAAAAACGGAAGTGTTTCCCATTTCATTTTATGACAAAGAAATGGGTTCTACCCCCAGTATTCTTTCATAAGATGTTATTAATGCTTATGAAATATCACAATCGTATATTTAAACAGATGCAAAACCCATTGGAACTGTTACATCAAACTATTTATCAGAACAATAGTGAAACTTGACACTTGCCGTCTCCATTATCTGACGCTTTTTCTTTTATTTTTATAGGGTATGTCTATCAACAAAATAAAAACATATTCTAACTATATTATATAATTTTAGTTTGATTATCATCAAAGTTAGAATTTACACTTGAATCAACCAGAAAATAACGCTAGTGTATAGAAAGCACCATGCATAGTCAGCAACAGTTTTATGCTGATAATAGACCTAATTTTAATTCGAATGGTCATACAAATATGAACTCAGAATCTTCCTCTAATTTGAACGGTGGCAGAAGCAATCCTGCTTTCATCGACTATGATTCTATTGACGGACATACAGCAGTGCGTCCCCACCACTCCTCTAATGGTACTAAAGGGTAAGCCATATTTTTCACTAATGCTTTTTGTCTAAGAACGTCTGTTCTTCTATTATTACTTAAAAGAGAAAAAAATCTTGGAGTTTATAAAACAATTAGATCTCAATGAGCAAAGAAAAGGTTATTGTAGATACAAAATTTTTGATTATTGTTTATCTCGAAATACTCAAACTTTCTTTGCCACTGATGTTTTTTCTATTTTCCCTGTTGAAGAATCTTACTTTGTTAAGCATAAAAAATTTTACCATTTTACTAATGATCAAATACGTTCATGGAATCAAATTTTCTTATAATAGTTCAAAGAAACTTCTATATTCAGAAAAACTAAAGCGTTTTAATTCATGAGTTGCCTGATTCGAGTTCGAATATAAATGAAGCTTCAACTGCATAAGATGACTTCGAAAATAACTGAAAAAAAATCAAGCCGGTACTTACCTACAACAAAAGAAGAAAAAACAGTATTTCAATTATAAATTATCATTAATAAAACTGTATTGAGAGTGACAGAGGGGCAGTGGTGACTATGACGGACCAGAGTGAGATTGAGGGCAAATGGGGTTACCCAGAACGCAGGGTCATAATGAAGTTGCTGGCAAAAGAGGTTACTCAAAGCTCAGATGTCAGGGTGAGGTTGAGGACAGAAGGGGTTATCTAGAGCACAAGGATCAGAATAAGGGTTAGTGAAAAATGGGTAACGTAGGGCATAGGGGCAAAAAAGATTTATAGGACAGCCACATAGAATTATAATTTACAGATGAGATAAAAGTATTTTTTCTGCTTTTCTGCTACAGTTATAGGATAGTCCTATCTGAATGATACTTTATAACTTAGATAAAATTTTTTTTAATACTTATTTCTACTGTAGCCTTCATGTGGTTTCGAAATTTTTATTTACATTCGAAATTTAATTAGGCATCTACTACGTGATTTGAGGTTCCGTTCTCAACAAATATGAACACTTGGCAAATCGTTTTTGCACATTTTTGCAATACTGCCGTGTTTAGACATCCGTTTTTTCATTGTGTGACAATTGTGTGACAAGTCACTATATGTTCTCGGGCTTTTAGAAGTGGAAACCGACATGTTGTTCCACTTGCTCCAAGAATGAGGGGTCCTATTTCCAATCGTTAAACACAGAAACTCAGATATGATTCTTGGTTTTTGGGAATCGAGTATGTGATTCTCGTTCGTAGAAACCCAACATCACTTATGGATTTCCGTTGCCAGCAATTCAGTATGTGGGCCCTGATCATAGGAATCTAGAACTACTTAAGGATTTCTCTATCTCAGAACCCAGGACCACTTTTAGGTTTTCGCTCCTAGGAACGGAACCGAACTGAAACCAATGCTCCCAAATAATGTCAAAAATAAATAGTAGTAGAAAAAATATGAATTTCTAACAGTTAATTGATTGGTTTATGTTGACGGTGGGATGAGGACGATGTTTGCATATAGTTTCAATATGTTTACAACTGAGCTTTTGTTGCTCGGAGTTCTAATAACGTACCGTTGGAGGGAATATATCACGGAAGCAATTGTCTAGACAGCAACATTCATGGATTCGATAAAAGTAGATATATAGGATGGCATAGGTGCCTTTTCATGGGTGAATCCAATATAGCACTCGATTGATGTATTAAAGTTAAGCCATCTCTTGAAAATGACTTAAGTCTGTTTTAAATTGTAGAGCAATCACATTCCTTAATTCGACATTAACTTTCATAGTGTAAATAACGCCTAAAGACTCCATCTCTGGACTATGTGATTTAAAACTGAATTAAGACATATGATTGGTGTTTTTACGTAGTAACACCAATCAGTTTTCTTAGTTCAGTTTTAATTCGCACAGTTAGTAATGTAACCTGGATTTTGACGATGGGCAGGGCTCAGCTACTCAAACTCTGTATGGTGTGGGGCTCGTCGTGGAGTTTTAGCTGAAATGACTTCGTTCGATGGGGCTCAAAATTTCGCTGGGTGGAAGCTGAGCTCCCTGATTACCCACTATACACGGTGCGGATGAACCCTAAGAAATATCTTTTATCTTACTTGAATATTAATCTAATAATATTTTCGAAGAGAACATACTAAAATGCATAGATATAATATTCGTATGTATTATTTTTTGTTTGAAGGACGCAATCAACAACATCTGAAACAGTACAGAACGAAACAAATAGATCTTCTCCACCACGATTAAAACCTTTTCGTATTGTAAGTCTTATATCACACTCATATATGTCTAATAGGAAGAAAAAAAAATTCAATTGTTTAGTTTCGATTTGCTGACAGATGGGATATAGTCATGATGATCGTGGGACTTTTGGCTGGTTAGTAGCAGTTTCTATGTTTGTGGAAATACTTCTATGCATGACTTTTTTCTTTTGTAGCAATCGCTAGTAGTGTATTTTTTCCATTGGTCCTTCGTATTTATCAAAGCATAATTGATTCATTTGTTGCTATTGATAGAAATCAAACAGGCTTTGAAACAACAGGAAATGTTGGATTAGGCTGGTAAATAGAGTTTCAAATTTGTTTTTTTTTCTGTTTAAAATAAAAGATATTTTATGATCTTTTAGTCGTAATAAAACATCATACCTGGATGCTAATCTCTCACCTTATGATAATATAATGTCGGCCATTAAATGGTATGCAGTATACGGTAGCTGTTGTTTTGCTCTTTTATGGATTGCTTTTAACTGTTGGATTATATCAGCGGAACGTCAAGTTCGTAAGATAAGGTAAAAGCCTAATAGATCTTAAATAAAACAAATAAAAACCAAAAATCTCTTCTTATAATTAAAATAGATATGCATTAATTAAAAATATTATGCGACAAGATATTGGTTGGTTTGATCGTCGATTGTCAAGCGATCTTTCTGCTGGTCTACTCGTCGAGTATGTCAGAAATGTTTCAGAAAACCTCAAATTTGTTTTTCAAAATTTTATGGCAAGGAATACAACATAGAATAGAATCATTTGATATATTTATTCGTCTTAAAATAACCGAATATATATTTTTAAGATCATCTGAACATCTAAAAATGAACTATAGAAGAATGATTCAAAGTAGAAAACCAATATCCACACAGACATAAATGAATACAGACGGCGAAATCTACAAAAAAAAGGCGGTAGTTGAGGAATAGTTAAGAAGAAACTAACTAATTGGATCGAATAATCAAACATTTTTCACATAGATTTGGAAAAATATTTATAAAAATACAGAGCAGATCTACTTGTTAAGTTTTTGAACAGAAGATTTTCTTGTTAGAAATTCTTATGTTATTTATATTTTAGTGATTTGGATAATATACGCGAAGGAATTGGTTACCAAGTCGCTGATTGCACAGCTCTTCTTGCTCGTGTCATTGCGTGTTTGGGATATTCAATATGGACTGGCTGGAAACTTACCTTAGTTTTCTTAAGCGTTTCTCCTCTGATTATTATCACATTTAATATTACATTTGCTGTGAGTATACTATTGGATTATCTTACTAATTTTACGACATCTTTCCCGATTGTATATCTAAAAACATTTCGTAGCTTTTGTAAGATATTGATGAATATCTTTTTCTAATTTTGAACTTATCAAAAAAAGAGAATAAAACTTTTATACTGAGGATAAATTTCAAAAATTTTCAGCAGAAAATATGTACTTTGATGATTTTCTCAAGTCAATAACTCTTCTTGAAATTGCGTATAAATGAATAATTTAAACGTTGAATAAAACGGCTTTCAACATTATATCCTAGCGAAAAATTCGTCTACTTTAAACTTTCTATTTTAATTGTTGATTAGTTAATAAATTCTTATTTATTGAGATAGGTTATGAAAAAGTTTACAATACTCGAGGGCACTGCTTATACGAAAGCAAATGCAATTGTCGATGAAGTTCTCTCAGCTATTCGTACAGTAACCGCTTTTGGAGGTCAAAAGCATGAACGTACTAGGTAAGGAAAAACTCTTTTTTTTTATTTTCAATTTAATTTGACTTTTTCTAAAATCATGTTAATAGATACCAACAAAGTTTAACAGATGCAAAGAATGCCGGTTTAAAAAAAGGTCTTCTTCTTGGTATTAGTCAAGCATTTGTCAGCATCGCTTTGTATGGTGCAATTGCTCTCATATTTTGGTATGGACCTTATTTGGCACGCGTAGAATGTTCGAATTACGATGCTGGTGTTGTCATGATTGTATGTTTTCAACTTTTTTTCACATATAAAATTATTTTCATTTCACTATTTAAGATTTTCACCACATGTCTCTTTGCAACAAATAACATATCATTGTTCATTCCATATTTACTTGCTTTTATTGAAGCTGCCGTTTCAGGAGCAAAAGTATTTGCCGTTATTGATCAGGTATGTAAAAACATCGATAGAAATATTAATATGACAAAACACAAACATGTTCGATATTTAAAACGTCTTCATTTATCTAAAAGATTCGTTTTTTCTTTTTCTTTTTATATTCGTCAAGTTAAAACAAATGAGAATCGGTTTCGAGATTTTGAATATGAGTGAACGAATTAAACGCTAAACATAATGATAATGTTCTCATATATAGAAAAATGAACAAATATAAACGACTAGTTGAATTCTTTATTTATCTTTCCGTGAGCAAACTATTTAATCAACTATTTATTTATAGAAATCGTCAATTGATTATACCAATCGTATGGGACATCAACCAGAAGTAGTTCGAGGTGATATTGAACTTCGTAATGTTACATTTAATTATCCATCAAGAAAATAAAAACAACCGGTATGTTATTTACTATTTTCATTTTATATTACCTATTCAGAATTATTTTTACTAAAGAAATTGAAAAGAAAAAAGAAAGTTTTTAGACTGAAATTCAAAAATTAAAAAACTATATTTTATTGTCCTAGGTGTCTTTTATAGGAAAAAAACAACTGTAATTATATTTCGAATCTTAAACGAATATTTCTATAGGCAATAAAATTTTAATAAAAATACTCAAGAGGGAACAGCTGATTCCAAGATTCCGGGATCCCAAGGATTTCAAGCTACCATTCACAGGTCCTTATAGATTATCTGCGGGTACTCTTCATATATCCTAATGAACTAGTTTGGGATACCCTTCATAGGTCTGTATACCGTATTCGGCGGTACCTGCCAGCAGTATCCAAGGACTGAGAAATAGGAATTCCTAATTTGTGGAGGAATTGTCAGTGTAGCTATGATAATCCCTTGGGGAGATGGGAATTGACCATTATTTCCATCACAGTTCCCTCATTCATGAAAGTCAAGATAATGCTTTTTTTGCAATAATTTTCGTACTCATACGTTCATGTGCACAAATTTCTTGATGAAAACGAGTGTAAGAGTAATAAATACCGTGGATATTGTATTTTTTTAATTTTAGCATTCAAGGAACTATTAGGGAACTGAGTAGGAATTCCTATTCCTCAGTCCTTGGACACCCCTCAACTAGAGCAGAACCAAAAAACCTGGTCCGTCCATCTCTAAAGGAGACCCCAGATACCCTGTAATGATCTATGAGAGGTACCTCCGAATAACTCATAAGAACCTATGGAGGGCATCCCCAATGGGTCAGTAAAAACTTATGAATGACACCTCCATATAGAACTTCAAGAGTTATGGAGAAGGCCGCGAGGCAGAGCTAGAAAAGTTATAGGGACTATCTTAAAGTAGGTTATAAAGAAATATCCCTTCATGATATATTACATCTAATGCATTTCATTGTGCTACGTGTATTTCATGTGCTTCGTGTACTCTAGAAGTACAGGAGCAAGTCGTTTCCCCTTGGATTCCACCGATTCCAAGGGATTTCATGAGATTCCATTGATTCCAATGACACAGAATCAGCTGTTTCCTTCTTGAAAATATCCCAATATTTAATTCAATTGTTACTTCAATCATCTTTCATTAATAGATCCTGAATAATTTGAGCATTCATTTTCCTGCTGGCAAGACAACGGCAATTGTTGGTGAAACTGGTTGTGGCAGTAAGTGTTTACATGAATAATTTTATTTATATTTTATGACACATGTTATATTATAAAATTTAGAAAGTACAATTATTCATCTAGTACAACGTTTTTATGATCCGGAAGAAGGACAGGTACGTTTATTATAAATAATAATGATATATTATTTATTTGATTAGGTTCTACTCGATAACAATGATATTCGTCATTTAAATGTAACTTGGCTTCGATCAAATATGTCTGTGGTTTCTCAAGAACCCGTTCTTTTTAATGATACGATTGCTGAAAATATTCGCTTTGGTCATGAGACAGCGAGTGACGAAGAGATTAAAGCGGCTGCACAAATAGCTAATATTCACAACTTCATCATCAAGGAGTTACCGAATGTATGGATATACAACAGTTTATTCAGGTCTAGAAATAGTTTATTTTTTTTTACTTTTAGGGTTATAATACATTAGTTCAAGGATCACATTTGGCAGGAGGACAAAAACAAAGGTAAATTCACTTATTAAATGATGTTTTTCAATCTTATTAAAACTAAATTTCAATTTAGAATTGCTATTGCACGAGCAGTATTATCGAATCCAAAGATCTTGCTTTTAGATGAAGCAACATCTGCATTAGGTAATTGAAGATAAACAGGAACATTCCACTCAAGTTGAATATTATTTCGGTTAATATTCAAAGATTAAATCGAAATCTTTGACGATATTACACCAAATTTAGTTTTTTTTTAATTCGATTTGAAACTATAAAATCGAATAAGTGATATAATTTCTCTATTAGATGCAAAGAATGAAAGTGAAGTACAAATTGGTCTTGAACGAGCTTCTCAAGGTCGAACAACAATTGTTGTTGCTCATCGATTGACAACAATTCGAAAAGCACATCATATTATCGGTCTCAATGCAGGTCAAATCGACGAACAAGGTACTCATGAAGAGTTAATGAGACTCAATGGACGTTATGCACAAGCAGTTAAACTTCAAAGAATAATGGATCCACATGATGAGAATGATGAAGACGAAGATAACGATTGTGAAAATGGAAACAATCATGCTTCCGGTATGTTACATAACTTGACTTTAGAAAAGAATTATCTTACTAATTACTGGAACAACCATTCTAATAAAGTTAATTTTTGATAGACTTTACAGTTTTAATCATACGATTCAGACTCCTTAGCAATTGAAAACATCTTCAAATTGAACTATTAAAAAGAACTTTTGTACTATAGATCAACTTATCCGTGGTATAAGCTAGAAAATGATGGAAATTAAAGTATTGAGTTTTTTAACTTTCATAGAACTCTCACGAAAATAAAGTAGTATTAATTGAATAAGAGATATTTGAACTTCTACACAGTGTTGTTTCAAAACTATTTTCTGTATAAAGTACTGTATGAATACTGTCTTGTACCCGTAATCTACATATACGCGTAGACTACAATGTAAATGGTTCATTTTCTTTATTTGGTAACAAAAAATATGAATTAATAACCGTAGACCTTCTTTTCCAGTTTGAGAGAAATGAAAAAAGAATTTATTCACCTTGAATGATTTCAATCGTCTATAATTCGATTCGGATAGATCAAAATTTCTAATTATTGACGCATAAAAATTCTTGTTTAAAATTTTATAAAGAAAATTACAATTTAACTAAGAAAACAAGTAACGCTCATCTACGGAATCGTTCAACTCCTTCTCATAAGAGTGATATTTCTGGACTTTCAGCAAATTATTTATTTACACAATCTCAAAAAAGTGAAATGGACACATTCTCGTTGTGTCTTTCGGTCAAATTCATCTAATTAGATGTTTGAGTTTAGCATTCTGAGCAACAGAAAGTCGGATTTGTAGGATTTTTATGTCGAAAGATCGGAGAATAGCCACATCTTTTGTTCTCTTTACTCGACTAAGTACTACATATTAGGTAAGTAGTTACTGCAAAGGCAAATACGATTGGCAGATACATTTTTGTGACCTGAACAACTTGTGGCGCTTTCTTTTCTTCTTTGGTCATATTCGAGTAGCCGACCAAATAACTGCTTGATGAAAACAGTAAATTGCTTTTTGACAAGTAGATTAGGAATTAGTTTGGGATGAAGACCATCTAGACTTGCATCCATTTGTGATATGTTAATTTCCACGAGCGTATAACAGTTTATGCATCTAGATCGTATTTGAAGAAAATATTTTCCTCTTCACCTTGAAAACAGTCGAATTCTTTTGATCATCGCACATGAACTATCAGAAAAATCCCTTGAGTGCTGTTCGAGAGTCTTAGCTCACAGATGATACTATCAGTGGGAAGCACAAACACGTTTGGTACGAAAGGAAGGAGATTGAGAAAAGTTCAATCTTGTCATTGAGCAGATGGTTTTCATTTAAAGTTCGTCTTCA